GGGTTGACGATTCGTCCCTTCATTATTCGAGAATTAGTAACCCCATTCTCTCGATCACCCTTTTCGTTTTACCATCCAAGTTTTCATCCCTTCATCACGATGAAACTCGTGCTTTACTCCTGGGAATTTTACTTCGTCTTATCTTTGCAAATAGTTCTGAAAATTTACGAAAATTGTGTCTTTATGGAGGTGGAGCTTAACAGTCTTTAATAAAATGAAATATTCAAGTTATTGGGAATGACTTTAAGTGACCCAAATTTTTTGTTTATTTATGTTTGTTAATAATTGTCAGTTATTTTATTATGATAATGAATGATTATTTATGTATTAGCAACAATTATTTAATCATAAAAGATTTATTTAATTTAATAGAATGATAATTTTATGGAGTGTATTATTTAAATACCTCACATGACATATTCTTTTCATATAAACACACAGTAAACACTTGGACGTGGTAAAAAAAAAGTACTTACAATGTGTTTTAATTTGAAATAACGCAAAAAAAGAGAAGAAGAGTGATAAAATAACACAGTGAAATGAACAATGGAGATTTTAGTATTAATATAGATTTTATTTTTTATTAGAGGTTTTGAATGAATTTTTTTCCAGTTGTATTTTGGCGTGGTTTGAATAAATCTTAATAGGTAATATTTTTTATGATGTTATGGAGAGTAACCTACTTTTTTTAGCTTTTACTGAAAACCAGAAATTCATTTAGTTCTATTTTTGTTTAAATTTTAATTTTTTCATTCATAAATGTATCATCATTATGTGTTACATTGGGAAAATATGTTATGAGGTTTAGTGGAAAAATGAATTAATTGAAGCTAACGATTCATTTACATATTTTAAATAAGCAAAACTAGATTAATTTTTTTTTTCTATGATAAATTAAAGCTCATTGAAGTGTTCAAAGATGATGAAGTAATTATTTGAAAAGAGTTCAATCGTTTAAAAATATTTTCATAGATGTAATAAGTTTCTTAATGTAAATATTACAAATTAAATAGGATTTTTAAACATTTAAATCTTAGTTACGAATGAAATAATTCACACACTTTACTGAAAGTTCTCTGCATTAATTATTGACACTAGTTTGTTAATTATTTCCAAGTTATTTGAGAAGCGTCAAACTTATGGTAATAAGTGTTTTTATAAAAATTAACCTTCCGTTGAGTTGTTGAGGAAAAAAAAATAATCCCACTTCAAACATTATTATAATTGATCTCATAAAAGCAGACAATGTCAGAAGACAAATGAGATAACTATAAATATCAGGCAGAAGTCATAAATTGGCGAAATATGTTGAGAATTAGTAATGATTGGAAGAGGTGGATTTAGAAGTAGTTGATTTGTCAAATGTCAAAGTAGAAGATAATGTGGAGTATGTCAGTGAATAGCTGAGGTTCTTCTAACGTCTATAAATAATTTATTTAGATTCGCACAAGAGCTAGGAAGTATAGACGAAGGGTGAGTCGAGACCATAGTTGGAGAGGAATAGAGCGAGAGAGGAAAGCGCTTGGGAAGATGAAAGCTAGTGGGAGTAAAGTGGGAGTTTGGGTTGAAGTTAGGAGAGAAAAGCGGGTGCGGTAGTAGTGAGGAGGGAATGGAGCTGTAGCCGCGCCATGGAGAAAGACCGACACCTCGGCGCCAAACTCACCCTCCTGAGACTCTGCAGACTCACCTCCATCTCCCTTGCCTGCTTCAGAGTCTCCCGTAAACCACCCTAACTCCCGACTCCCATTTCGCAAGCCCAGCCACCCACATCCCATCCCATTCCGTCCTGTCACCCCTTCTCTTTAGCCTCTTTCCCCGCGCAGCCGCTCCGCCTCTACGCCAACAACTCCTACGTTGTGAGAGCGACCCTCGAGCTATCTCCAAAATCATCCCTCACACTAGTGTGCAACTAGATGTGCTGCTACCCTCGGGCTTGGACAGGCTTGCAAGTACATTCTCTCTTCCTCATAGCAAAAGCTCCTGCTCTTATACGACCCTAGAATATAACAAAGAGGAAATAAGAGATCCGCACCGCGATTTTACTTGATGCGAATTATACTGGTCACAAGGTTTGCATTAATTTCCAATTCTCTCTTCGTACTTTAGACGACTTGTACACTTTCCTCTTCTCATACCCCACTATTTTACCATCCTTGAACACTAAATCGACATTTCTTCGGATACAAGCCACTTGGTGTGTGTGGAATATGTATGTTCTGTATATACATTCATGTATGCACTAGGCAGGCGGTGATGGGATTTCGTTGTTCGACGAGCTTCATGGATATACGATAATCATAATCCTCGATACTCGAAGACCGAGTTAAAGAGAGAACTATTGAGCTCCATGTACGATATTAGCTTTTCAAAGTACAATGAGACGAGGAGAAAGAGAACGAGGAGGAGGAGGAGGAGGTGGAAGAGAGACACATGAACTAGCACCAACGTGACAGATTTCACGGGTATTCCCTGAAGAACAATAGATTTCAGGCTGAGTGGAAGACTGCCAGTGGGGAAAATGCAGCATCTCCATTCAATAGAGTTACGCCACTTAAACCCCAATAACGTGGTCACTGCGCGCACCGCGTAGGGGTGCAGCCCACAAGGACGTTTTAATCGCTTCAACAATAAAAAAATATATTCGTTTATATAAATACTGCAACTCAAGTTCTGATAGATATCAAGATAGTAAATATCCGCTTGAGAACAGAATTATTTCATTGGCCGATTTATCTTCTGGTTTATCAAATCTCGGACAACGATCAACTAAATTAACAGTTTTGACGGAAGTAGATATTAAAGCATATGCTTGTGTTTAAGTATCGATAATTCTCAGTGCTCAGTAATTTGAAAATAATTTTATTTACTTTTAATTTTCGGTTTTTATAACGTCATTTGAACACATGGATAATTTTCAATAATAATTTTTGATAGATGAAATTTAATTGATTGTTTTTTTTTGTAATTAAATATATTTTGTTAAAAATCAGAATATTTGTTTATAATATATCGTTTACATCAATTACAATGGAATAAAATTCTTTTTTTTTACGAATTTTGATATGTAAAATAATTGTTTGTAACTATTCAATTGAATAATACACAAATAAAACAAATAATTATCTACCTGCAACTGACCTGAAATAAAAAAAATTCCCTTTTTGCTCGAAACTACCCTTAAGGTAAACAAATATAAATAAAAAAATTTTTATCATTGAAAAAGTATGTTCATATTTTTGAAAAATTTTCCCATCCAATAAATTTCTGAACAACACATTTTTTGATTCACCAGCAAAATTGATATTTATCCAGCTCCAGCAACTTTTTTCTGACTTGATTACAAAGCTATTATCATCACAACTCAAAATGAAATATTTTTTCTGCATACACGAGACGACCACAGAGGAAGCAAATGATAAATAGTTCAAGTGTAAACGGACGTTATTAATCAGACACAAAAGTAAAAATAGTATCGGAGAATGGCATCGAGAGAATAATAGATCGATTTTCACTTCGATTTGGATATTTCGAAACTCTAGTGGAGAAGCATGCGCTTGGCGATCCATAGATGTGATCAACTAACAAGTTTGACATGGAAAAATTGGACGATCAGACAGTGTCACCCTCATCTTTCACCCTCATCCTCGTTATCCCGAACAAAGTAACATACCATCAGGATAGTATCTAGAAAAGCCGCGAAATATTCAAGAAAAACACGTAGAAGACCGAAATCGATAGCAACAATGCCGTGATAAAAGCGAGGCCTCCTGCTTGGTTCCGTGAGGGAGTTGTCGAGGGGTTTGGAGCTATAGGACTTGGGGAGATGTTAGAGGATGGAAGGCGGCGTTGCCAGTGGGCGGCTTCAAGGGGAGAAACTAGAGAGAGAAGAGGAAAGGCATTGGGAGGGTGAAAACGGGACCGCCTTATTGGAATTGAGAGGATGGGGTGAGTTTTCCTAAGGGCCAAGAGTAAAAGCTAGGGAGGAAGTATGAGAGGACGAGCGAGTTGGATGAGGCAAGGGGCCAAGAGGGTTTAACGAAAAGTAGTCAAGTAAAGGCAGGAGGTAGTTGATGGAACGAGGATGCTACAACGTCGACATCAGCCGCTAGATGAACAGGGACACAGGTTACACGGCCAACTTTTCAGACTCCTCATTACATTTTCTATATATCGTCAATCATAAAATTAGTCCTGTCATCAACAACAATCACTTTCGTCACATCTCACTGCGTTTAAATTTTGTTTGGAATTTGTTTTCAACAAAGCCATTGAGACCACCAAAAAATAACATTTTAGCATGATGACTGGATTCATTAGATACAAATTAAAATCCAAATAAGTTGATAATAAATAATTAAAAATTTTTTATGTTGTTAAAGTCATTAATTTTTACAATAAAAGTTACTAAAATGTGCTATGAAATGCACTAAAATAAGTTTCAATTAAATTAACTGTGTATTAAAAAAAAAAAATTATTTCCAATTTTATCATGAATTAAACTAATTAATATTTTCCAATCATTTCATTCAAGTCAATTGTTAATAAAATAAAATGTTTAATATCAATAGATATTTTTAGAAAATTCATAAATTTTTATCAAAAAACAATAGTAAGTTATAATGATAAAGTCTTTTATTGGTGAGATGTATTGTTTATCAGATCCTAAATTTCCTGCTCAACGTTCCAAGTATGAGGGTGATGTCGATGAACGTTTAAGTACATATACCAAGGTCAAAAATTAAGATAGGAAGGAAAGAGATCAAGTGATAGATAAAAGAATTGTGATTGATGACAAACAATTGATCAATAAATAGGAAGACAGATGTATTCATTTGACATTAGGAGTTTTCTATTTTATTTTGCAATTTAAATATAATAATTATGTTAATATAATGGTATTAATAACAATTTTAATAATGAACAATAAGTTGATTCTATGATAGAATTGCCATTTTTACAATGATTATGTACAAAAATGATAATAATCTGTTCTTTAATTAATGAATCTTCATTTTGTGCAGTTTCTTTTTTATATTCATTAATAATTACTTTTATTCAATATTGCATGAATCTGTATCAATATTTTACGACAATTATTAGACTTCTCTTAGATATAAACATTTTTTTTTAGTACATTAGAAGCATCTTAAGGCCTAAATAACTATTGTACTACTTTAATTCATCATCACATAGCGACTATTTTCTACTGTACAAGAAGCTGTTCTTAATCAATAATACATGAAGAAGTAAGACTTAATGTTGGAGAAGACAAAAATAAAAATAAACTAAGTTACACATGAAGTTGGCCCTTTACAGCAAGTAGTACTTTACTATGCAGTGTAACACGTCTTACATTTTCTACGTGTGGATGACTTTGGTGAAATATCACACACAAAAAACACCAAGATGATACCACCTTTGAAAAATTTAAACTTCGTTCTACAAAGCTATTAAAGTTACCCGTAATTCTTTTTGTGTCATGGGCTTTTAACTTAACTATTAAATCACTTTTACGCCAAGAAAATTTAATTTACAATTTTTTTTTTTATTTTATTTATTTTTATTAAAAAATTATACATTTATCAATCATTAAGTCTATAGGCCAACTCCACCAAGTTAATCCTCGTTAATTCATCTAATTCTAGATGTTGATTTTGTATTTAAAAAATATAAGAGAAAAATATTTTTATTTTAATAGATTTAGAAATTTATGTAACATTGCTCAATGCTGTAAGTAAACTAAAAAGTAATGAAAATTTCTGAGACTAGTGAATTATAAATATTTATGAGGAATAATAAGTAAAAGAATTCTGCCGATTGCATCAGGATTGGTGATGTGTAAAGGCGGGAGAAAAGGTCATATCTGGAGCGATAAATCCAGTGGGCATGACTGGAGTACTTGGTGGTAACATTAAAGACGTAGGAAGACCTGAGGGTCTAAGTCTCTCAGTCAAAGCCATCATGACCTGACAGTGTAAGTGTTGGATAGTAGCAAGTAAATTGAGGTTGGTATCGATCAGTCCTGCAGCAGGAGAGAAACGATCTTTATCTTCATTTTGCGTCTCGCGAACTGGTGATTTTCTTTGTGCTTCCTCTAGAGCTGCGGCTGCAGCTGCTTTGTTCTTCTCAGCGAGGATTTTCTGCTGATGCTTCAGGTACGTTGTTGTAATGGGAAGACTGTAGTCTACTGGAGTGTCTTTAGGATCTAGACCAGGACTCCATGGTCTAGGAAGTGGTAACAAGAGGGTGGGTGATGGTGTTCTACCTTCTGGAAGCATTCTTTTCCTCTTGGAGGATGCTGAACTCCTCGAGCTTGCTCGATCAGACTCTGGTGTGCTTCGCGACTCTACCAAGTTCTCTGATGTTGATGTGAAACTATTTGAAGGTTCTTTCTTCAACAAATTACTAATACTCAGAGGATTGTATTTTTCTTCTTTGTCTTTCTCCTTTTCCTTATCTTTCTTCTTCTCCTTTTCTTTCTCTACTTCCTTGTCTTTGTCCACCTTTTCACTAGAAACCACAGCACTTCTATGATGCTTTGGATGCCTGTAGCTGAATAAACTTTTACTCTCGGGTGGATTACTAGCTTCTCTTGGTCGCAGGATGCTTTGTGTTGGAGATGCTGAAAGAGCAGTAGCTGGTGTGGGGCTCCGAGGAGTTCTTGTCACAGTTCCTGTTGTAGTACCCACTACTGACGTTGACGTCACCGCTGCAGCTTGCGATTGATTAGGAAGATTACTTGGGCTTGGAGTTCGAGGACGACGTTGACATTCTGTGCAACCTAGGAGAAATCTTGTCACTGCCTCTCGAGGTAAAAAGGCATAAGTCTCCGTTATCTAGAGCAAAAAAATTATGCATAACAACACATTCTATAAATTTACTCTAAATTATTTTTAATCCCTCCTCAACAACTATTTTTAATAAAACTCTATTCACATTTCGATACATTGAATCAAAAAATTTTTATGACTAAGAAATTGAAAAAGCTTTTTTTTATGATCAATTTTTATCCTTAAGTATCACTTTTCATTAAATTTTCATTGCGATTTAAAATTTATTTTTGATGTTAAAACTTTGCTTAAAGTAAAAACATAAGGAATATTGAAAAAAAAAAATTTTTATCTGAAAAAAATTCCATTAAGAAAAAAAGATTTTGTAACTTTTGAGTCAGTTATATTTATTAATTTATTTTAATTCTGATGCATAGCTTTGAATATGATTTAGTGTAAAATTATTCTCCATGCACTAACCACATGGATTTATCATAAACAAAGAATTAATTTTCATTAAAGTGAATATGAATTCAAAAAATTGACGTTCTTTTATGTCAAAACTCAATTAACATTCGATGGAATTCTTTTCAAATTTAAATTAGAAAATTAAAAGGAATACAAAGCAGCAAAGCGCTTAAAACAGATTGCTTCTTGAGGATGAAAAGTAAAGTATTGGAAGGGTTAAAAACATAAATAAAATAAATGAAAAAACAGAAATAATAAATACATACTTATCAATCTGGTTTGTTTTTTCTTTTTTAAAAGTATCTTGAATTTTTCTCAAAATTTTATCAAAGAAAAATTGTGTTCATATACATTTCTTTGATTTTACATCATTATATCAGCACCAGAGGGGTTTTAAGACGTATACAGAACAGATGAGAAGCCGGAGAAGAGGTAAGAGAGACAGAAAGAAAGGACTGTCAGTAAGCTGGGGAAACTTTGATGTCATCCGGAGGAAAGTATGCGGCCGGAGGCATGTTCTCTGCCTCTTAAGAGGAAACGTTTCTCTCTGAGAAGGTGTAAGGGGTAGCGTAACTCAATCAAGGACGAGAGGAGTTTCTATTCCCAGGAATACTGGGGGTTTTATATTCCAGTGTATTACGTAGCACGAAATAAACATGAATTATAATAAAATTGCTTTTTAATTTAAATTTTCGACAAACATATTCCTTTTTTTAGTTAAAAAAGGAATAGACAAGTTGTGCTACCGAATTTATTAGTTATTCGTGTTAACAACAAGTCCAAGAGCTTCACCGAAATATATTAGATCCTTGAGATTCACGGACATGTTCAATAGATCTTGTACACGTGTAAGGTCGACCTTACGCAAAACAGTTTCGTCGTTGTGAGAACATTCAAATGTATATTTACATTCGATGTGTACGTGTATGTGTGTGTGTGTGTGTGTGTGTGTGAAGGGGGGGAGAAGTTGTGTATAAGCAGGCAATGCAACAAGTGTCCTGAGGTTTTGAATCACAAGCAGATCGCAGTATACTAGTGAGCGAAAGAGACCAAAGGAAGGAGAGCAAGGGAGAACGAATGAGCTAGACGAAAAGAGATGAGGAAAGAAGAAGAAACGATACGGTACTCTAGAGAGATATTTTCGCGAATACGCGACAAAACATGGGAGATGACGTGTGAATATATGGTCTACATGCGTGAGTCGATTTATTTTTCTAGAGGAAATATTTCTAGGAGATTGGATCATTAACTGCATTTTTATCAACAAAAATAAATTCTCTTATGCTCCAAAAATTATTCCAATCATTAATTGTTACTTTTCAATTGAATTAATTTAATTCTTCAATAGCTTTAAATGTTTGGTGATTTTTATCATTTTTTTTTAGAGTTTTTATTATTGATTATTCGAGTATGCTGTTCAAAATACTTTTGTATCGACTTACAGTTCTGTAGGTGCGCTTCTGACCCGCATGCTTCCCAGGACGACCTTCTAGATCAACGTGGACGGCATGAATGATGTCAAAAAAGTTCTCCACTATGGCTACTTTCTTGAAGACCTTTCCAGGCACTGTACCTTCTGCACCATTTAGAGCCTGCAATTAAATAAATGAAAAAAATTTTAATTTACGCTCAATGCTTGGAGAAAATCAATGTTTTGAAAATTTAAATTTCAGTCCAAAGACTCACTGTATGAGTCAGACCTCTAGTGGAGGGTTGTTGAACTACGTTGGGGTGGAAATCAAGGGTAGAAACCCCAGAACTGGGATTCCTACCTTTACCACTCGAGATACTTGGAATGGATCTGGAACCTTGGGTCGGCAAAGTGGACGACGATTTTTTATACGACACAACATGTTCTTTTTTTTATCTCTCAAACAATTATTTAAACTTTATAAATAAATAAATAAATAAATAAATATTAATTCTATCCTGACAAGTAACACTTTAAATACATTGATAAATATTTTTTTTATTATTAAATAAGTTTTCTATTTTATTTGAAAAGTATTGATCTTAAATAAGTTGTTAAGATAATTGTCTTTTTTTTTATTTTAGTTTGTTAAGTTTGAGTTGTTTATTGCAAGAGAAAATGAGTATAGACGCGAAGAGTAGGGGGATGAATGAAAATCGAAGTGAAAGTGATGTATGGAGGTTAGTGGAAGAAGAATCGATAGATCAGACAAAGGCTGACCACCTTACTATATACCTAACTGTTCAACTTGAAACTTTACGACTCTCAAGATGTAGAATGCGCGTGCGTGACATTATTGTATTTCCCTAAACACCTGTTGAAGTAAAGTTGAACTCGTGCAGGGGAGCTTACGAGTCCAATTAAGGGGTTGCGGTCAGACCGTTGTAACATTCCCTCATATTTAGGGTGACCGCTTGTTCCAACTTGTGACGAAAACTTTTACATGTTTAAAGAAACAACCGAAACAAATCCAAAAGTATTTTTAAACATTTGGAAAGCCGAATTTTGGTTGTTGTAAATAATGAAAAGAATGAAAGGGAAAAGTAGTTGAGTATATTTCTTGTTATCTAGTTGATAAAATGTAAATTCCAAGTGAATTGAATGCGTAGAATTTCACTAGTCATGGATATTCCATGCACGAAACTAGCAGTTGGTTGGTTGTGGTAATAGGGTTGGGGATGAAACTGGGTGGCAAGCAAATCTATCGGGTCGGTAGGCAATGTTTGAGAGCAACGATAACCCGCAGCAGCAGCAGTATATGCACGTGTAGAATATATCGTCGCCATATTCAGTAATACGAGCGTGTGCTTGGCCGATATACAGGAGTTATAATAGCAAAGTGAGAGGGAATACCACAGAGGAAGGGTGTGAAGGGTATTCACAGCTGAATGCATGAGGCGTGTGTTAGGCATTCTGTCGCCCCCTACGTCACGCAATGCGTGTTGGGGGTGTAACGAGCGTGTGCAACGGATACGAGGTCATCACTAACTAAAACCATATAATGCTTTTTATTCTTAGGTTACGATTTTTCGAGGGAAAATACTTTTTTTTTATTGCTGACATGCTTTACTTTTATGATAAGAATTGACGGAAACTGCATTCAGAAGCTAGCTCACAACTTTTATCGGTGTTTATGTTATTAAGTTACTTGTAGATGACTTTTTTAAAACGGTTATCGTACTACGAATAGTTCAAAAAACTTATTAAAAATCATTTTCAATGTTGATTAATAATTTTTTTCAAAAGATTAATGATTGAAATTTATTTCAAAAGTCTTGAACTATGTAGAACATAGAGAATTGTCACTTCGTGCTATCAACTCACAGCTAGATATATTAATAATATACAATCATGATTAAAAATAATTATAACTACAAACTTTTAATTGTAAAGATAGCTATTAGATTTTAATAACTGCATAATATCCCTAACATTATAAACTCGATGAATTGAAAAAAACATTTAACACCAATAATAATGTATAATCTATTGCAAGTGTGACAATTATTTTTTTAAAATAATTTATATTGATAAGGAAAGCACGTATTCTCTTTCAAGTAATAATTATTTTAATGAATAAGTAGATGTTTCAACCATCTAATTACCATTATTCCTAGTTCATTCTATTTTTGTAAATAAAATGTACTTCACTTTTTTTTATGTACTACCCATTGTTTTATGAACTGATCCTAAGTGTGCTGTGTGACCCTAGGCAAAACTATTCAAGCTACTTCCGGAAGTTCGATGAGTAATTTAATAGATCAGAAAACCACTAATTAAAAGGAAGCTGGATAATTACAAACACATAGACAGAAACTTGGCTATAAAATATAAAAGAAGAAACCTATTTATTACAAAAAAGGTTACTTTAAATTAACTTTTTAAATTATAAATAATGAATAACTATAATTTCAATATAATTATTGATTACAGTTTTTATAAACAATATACAATCGTTTAATTCCATGAAGTTATTTATAACAAAATTATTTTGATATTCATTGAATATAATTATAGTCATAACAATTCAATAAATAATTTATAACAGGATCTTTTTTTTTATTCATTTGTAATAAAAAATAATTATTATTAAAATAATTTTTTATTTAGTTATTTACTCTAAATTATAATTTCTAAAATATCTTTTTCTTTTAAAATGCATTACTTCCGAATCCTTTCCATTTTATTTCACATCGAATTTATTTTAAACAAACTACATTTACCAAAAGAATCGAAATATTTCCAAAGTTTCACGAAAAATAGCAGTGTCTTTTGGTATGGCTTTGAATGACAAAAATCAGGATGTAACGAGCTGCGGGAGTATGCAAACGAGAATCTAGAGGGAATGGAAGAGAAACTACATGCAGGCGGACGAATTGAGAGCGACAGGCTGGAGACTACATACATTGCCAAGCGATGCAATCGCAGCTGTTTTTGTAATGTCGCGGTTACACATCGCCTGCGAGCTATCGATCAATTCAAAAGCGCACGATAACGCCCCGAGAGTTCAGTCTTCCGTTTGCTACTGGCTATATTCAGAACCAATTGATTGAAACAAATCCCACTGTTCAGCGATAATAATCTAATGTAATCACCTCGGAATCCATAACTTATTCTTTATTCGATGTTATTTCATTATTTAAAAACTGACAGCTGTAAGGATTATTCATATGTGCATCAAATATGGAATGTTTTTTCATTTCCGATTACACTAGATTGCATTTTTTATATTTACAAGTACAATTCAACTGATTAGTATATCTTTTTAAATTTAACTCGAGACAACTGTTCATTTTATTTTATTTATCCAGAATATTTCATCAAATTATTTTATTTAAAACTTCCTTTTAAATATTTTTTTAAAACTTCCTTTAGATATTTCCAGTTATTTCATTTGATGAATAATTTTATATTAATATCTTTTTTTTTTACTGAAACATATTAATATCGATAATTAATTATTTGTAACTCAATGATAATTATTATTATTATTATTATTAATGTGTATGTTGATAAATAAAAAAATTTAAACTTTGCTTTCATTAACATTTGGATGTTTGTTAATAATGTTGACAGACTTATCTAGTCGGATCCTGATCATCATTCAATGTAGATGCGTTTGACTTGCCTCAATCAAAGGGCATTTCATAAGCCTTTTAAATTTCGAGTTCAAATTAGTAAGATTAATATGCTATTCAAACGGAATTCTAAATGCACATTTTCAATTTACTAACACTCACTAATTGTGAAATTATTAAACAAAAAATAACATTATCTTTATTTAATGAATGGTATTGATAAATATTTTTCTATAAATAATTGCAATAATTGATTGGAGTGTAAACCCTTTTATCGATATGATATAGTATATCATTAGCCATTTAGCAATAATGATAATTAAGCAGCAATCTCAAAACCAGCACGATCAAATCGTCGTTAATATTCATGTTTTGCTATGATCGATCGCGGTGAGAGTAATAGCTTAGAGAGCCACTACATTAGATAGTATAAAGTCCGAGCATAATCTCTACTGTGCCTCAAATCGCCTGGCTTTCACAGTGACCAAAGTATACTGATAAGCCAGCAAGGTCCAATGGATGACGTTACTGAGTGCCTAGGGATTCATCCGACTATCCGGCGCCGCTGAACATTTTCACGGAAGCCATCGTGCGATTCGGTGCTTTCTCACATGCTCTCGAGATTCCACACAGTCCCTCGAGGCTTTGTGACTCTCAAGGGCCTCCCGGAAATTCAAGAGGTGGGGGAAAAAAAGGTCAAAACGATCCCATTGGTCCTACATACTACCTCACATGTCCTTTCGACTCTTCCGACCATATAAAGTCAAAAAATTCTCAATGTTGCGAAATTATCTCTACTCTCTACTCACCAAGTTACTTTCCACGAAATTCACCAATTTGAGGGGACGAAAAATTCTGATAATTCAACCCTTCGTTTGTACATTGATTAAACCCATCATTTTCGCAGGATTCATTGACGTAATTGTGAGTATTTCTCTCCAACTTGCTCATTATAATAATTATGTTTGAATTGAAATTAAATAAATTATCATTTGCAATCTTTTTTTCCAGAGTTTTTATGTGTTTAAAGGAGATGGATTGGAGTAAACTGAGTTCTTTAGATCTCACTTTAATTGTGTAAAGAGATAGATTGTCGAGATTTGAAGTAATTCATATAAAAACTAATAAGCTGTTTTTATCTTTTTATTGCAAATAATTATTTTCTATTGTGGAATTTCTATCTTGATGGTCAACTATTTTATGTACAGCTTAAACTGATAATATAATTATTAAATAAATAATCAATCGATAAACATTACATATTTTACTTTTAGAATTTTTTTGTAATTTATTTAAAACATCAGACAATTAGTTAGAAGAGCATTTTGGTATGAAATATTACCATATCAATTATTATATTCTAAATAAAATGAAAAAATAAAAACTATTGAATATCGATAGCATTTTTTTCTCCAAGTATAACAAGAATGCGCCATGAAGCCGATGATTAATTAATGATTAAAATAGAGAATAGAATGAAAGAAAAAGGAGGAAAGTCTGTACGTGGAAAATGTTAGATAAAAATGGTAAACGGGTACGGTGG